GATTTTCAAAAGTTTGTAATACATTTTTCTGCAAATTGATGGACGATCCGCATTTTTTTGCATTTAAACTGCTTTAGTGTGTATAATTGTGTGTGTACTTTAATTGGAAATTTAAAAGAAGACGAAACTCGAACAGGCATTTAGTACATGAGCACCCTTTACCTGCAGCTTCTCCCTTGATAATTTGTTGATTCATTGTTATCAGCGTTATAAAATAAACTGCACCGAACACAATAATATCACACTTAATAATTGATATATCAAAATCACTGTCAGTTCAATAACGCAATGTGTATTTGAAAAGTTTATCAGATCTACAGATGCACCCGCACTAAGAAAAAATGTCGTGCATATGTGCGTCTTGAATCTCGTCTTTATCTATGGGTGCGAAGAGGCCGAAATGNACGGCTCGCCGTGACCGAGAAAAATCGGTTCACCCTCCCATAAAAAGTTATCACTTTAAAAAACTGTTGATTTGATGAAAAGTTTTAATTTATGCATGAAAAGCACTATTAATGGTGAAATAAACTGTCCCAAAGGACCGGGCAAAAGTGTTCGCTCTCATCAGGTGTTAATTTTAATCAAGACTCGATATTGACGACTTGTTAATATTCGAGAATAAAAGCACTGTTTAATCCAGACCCGAAAAAATGTTTTTCCAATTTGCTTATTCCGTTCTACGTTCGGAACGGCTTATTTTCAATGTGCGTTGCATAAACCCACAAGGAAACACTTGAACTGATTTGAACAATAAATTTCGAAATTTTATACTTTTCCGAGTTATTAACTGGAACAACTACATCTTTCTTTTAGCAACTTTAAGTCAGCTTGGAGACCATCTTAATAGTGTTTAGCTTCGACTTGTTTTCACAAAACCAATATCTACTTTACTTTTCTAAGTACGGTCCTGTTCGTTTATTGCCAAAATCTAAAACTTTTTATTATGAATTCCTTAATTAAATCATTTTAAAGTTGGATGTTATGAGTTACATACATAATTCAACATTTCTAAGGACTTAAAAATACTGGCAAAAACATTTAAATCCTAACAAAAACAATGTCATAGTTGAATTCGGAATGAAGAAATATTTTAATTTGCCTATAATAACCAATGATAGTCCTATATTTAAAGAAACCAAGTAGAAGAGAAGTTCTCGAAAAAATTGATATCAAAGATTTGAAGGCGCTTTATTATAAGTCTTTTCATATTTTTTGAATCACCTTAGCGCAATTTTAGCTATTCTTCTGGTTTTCCTCTTGCACAGTCTAGGCAATTTCCTGTACAACTTTTGTCGTTAAGAAATTCTAAGATGGCTCTATTTATTTTATTACGCTTTGTGCTAGAAATACCTGATAACATTCGCGAGTTTCAGCTAGGATAAACCCACCTGTACAAGTCAAAATACACACTGGACCTTTGAATATCGCACAACGCTTCTTTGTCTGAATAGACGTGTTCAGTTTAATCTTTTCATTTAATTAATACAGGTGTTACGCGTCTTAAAATAATTTCGGTTAATTTCACATCTTTGAGAGCCCGCGGTGTTTTGAGAACTTCAAGTATCCGTTTATGTGCTTCTGAATTGTGCAATTCAGCAAGCAGTTAAAACATTGGAGATTCACTTGAAATTACACATTAATGCCACGGTCTTGTTTAACCACCATAGAATTTGAATTATTGGTTTTAAATGTGCTTATCAACGAAACAATTCATTAGGCTGAAAATGAATAATGTTGAACTCAACTTACGACCAAAGAATTCGGTTACTGAGCTCAAACTGCATCAAATTTGGCCAAATCTTATTGAAGGTAATGCCGCTTGTTACGGAAAGCAACTGGCAAATCGGGCCCTTTAAAAAAATACATAACTTATTAGAAAATGTTTAAAAGCATTTTGAAATCGCTGTTTGACCATCTATGGATAGATTAGCAGTACAGGTTCAGTACAGTGGAGTAAATAATCAATCCATGTGGTCCATTATTTTTAACGTTTTATTTAAACTTTACATTAAAAGAAGAATCCTAAGATTTTTCCTCCCAGATGTTTTCGCCTGGCCTCCTCGTGGTCCATAATTCCACCACTGGTCGTCAACACAACGTACCTGTAATAAAAAATTACTTCCAATGTAAATTACATACACAATAGATTTTGCTGCCAGAACTATACAATGAAAGTTAGCTGCTCATGCAATATGTTGTACATGCATGGTTAGTAAATGTAGTATCTTACCAGCTTAAAAACATTACTCCGCAAGACAATCAGTCATTTCACTTAAAATTTAAACAGTAAACACAGGGGTTAACACGAACAGTGCTTGCCTATGAAAGTGGTATTTGGTGTTAACTACATAAAAATGGGTAAGTATGGAGTAAGTCTTACTTATAAAAGTTTAATGTGAACTAGACCTTGCCCAACCACATGTTTACGGCAAACACTAAATTAAGCCAAAGCCAGATGTAACAGTAAAATCTACGCTAAAACATTCCGGCAACTGCTGCATTGTACTTACCCAAATTGCCTGGATGGAAGCAGATTATTTGTCCACTTTTCAATGTGAGTGATAGGCACATCGAATCTAGGCGAAATAACCCCACATTTGTTAAGCCTTCCCGTTAAATTGACGACAATTTTGCCGCTTCTATGGTCATCGACGATTTCGAATTCCCCGATGTATCCATGCTTCATCATCACAGTGAGAAATTTCACGATTACTTTAGAGCAGGGGCGAATAAGCACTTGCCTCTTGCCCCTTTTCTCTGCATTATTGATAGATTTGAGAGCATCACTCAAAACGTTCATTCGCACCATGGCTAAAAAAAGTATTTGTTGGTAAAATGCAGTTCAGAATTGCGGAACAAATAGAGTTTGGCTTAGGAAACTTGAGTGTTTCGGCAGGTTTTTGAAACTTGAAATTAAATTTTTAGGTTAGGTAAGTTTGTAAACTTTTGAGCCAGACTTCTGCAAAACAAGACTCGAATAAGCAAAAACGTTTAACAATAAAGGATAAAGACAATTACAAAGAATTGATATAAGTAGGAAATGTACATGGATGGTATAAAAATACTTAAATTACCTGAGATTTATATTGGTCTGGCCAAAACAATCCTGAGCGTTTACACTGACAGCCTAAAAAGAAAGTGATACCATTTTCCTCCAGTAGTGTGCAGCACTCCCCTTCTTGAAATCGCGCTCTGGTGGCTAAACCCTGAATCGATCTGCTCTCTCTTTCTTTTGAGTCTGGTGAAACAAGGACACAAACATTAAAATCAGCTGGCCTCGCAAACCAGGCAACCAGCATAGCTTCCTTCCATCGCTGAACAGTGTTGTTAACAGTTCAAGCCTCGGTGAAATAGATCAAACAGTTGCAAACTAAGCAAAGAAGTTTTTGAGAATTTCAACACAAATTCACAAAATATTTCGAATCACTAAATTTCAGTATTTTCCAGGTCTTCAGCTCTCTCGAAAAGCAACTAACATAGAAATCTTACTTTCAATATGGTGAAAAATCAAAAAGTTTGGCAACGAAGTTGAAATGTTGTGACATTAGAGCTTCCTTAACCTCAGAAAGTGAACTGTTACAGAGTCAACAATAGTTATGAGGCGATAAGAAAGTTTCAAGTGGTTTTTTTTACATATTAGCGACGTGTAAAATTAGGATTAATAAAAAATGTTTCGAGCAAATATAGGATATACTTTCTTAACATCGACGCTTATCCTGTTGGTGCTTTGTCTAATCCAAGGGGCTCAAAGTGCCGGCCAAATAATATATGCTGTAAATGCAGGCGGCGAGGCTCACACGGACTCCAATGGAATACGATATGAAAGAGATCCTTTAGCAGGGAAAGTTGGCATTGCCTCAGACTATGGAAAGTTCCTAGTTATTGGCCGAGTCCCAGCAAATGATCATATATTATATCAGACCGAACGCTATCATACAAGCACTTTTGGGTAAGTAATTCCGCAACTTCTAGAAGATTCTATGGTCAGCTATTGCTCCCAGGTACGACCTGAGCTTGCCAGGGGATGGTAGCTATGTGCTGGTACTTAAATTTTGCGAAGTCTACTTCGAGGCTCCAAACCAAAAAGTGTTTGATGTGGTACTCAATGAAGAGCACACTGTGGTAGCTGACTTGGACATCTTTGGGAAAGTCGATAAAGGAGTTGCTCATGATGAATATGTTGAATTTGAAGTTCTTCAAGGTAAGGGTAAACTAGAAATATATTGAAGCATTTAGGCTTTAGTTCTCAATGTCCCTTTTACAACCCCGAACGTTTTGGTGCGCCACGCTAATCCTTGTTGAATTTAGTTTTCTTGTGTGAAGCATTTTTATTCGTATCTGCCAGCGTTTTCACGTCTTTGACAAAATAATAACCAAATGCATGTGATGTAATTTTGCAAATATTTTAACGCTGCCAATAGTTTGTCGTGTACCACAAATAAATTAATTCTGCCCGCAATTTGCCATAAATATCCTAGAAACTGCAAGGGGTTTACCACCTCATTCATTTACAAGATTTTAAAATCAAACACCCTGTACCAATTACTACGACGGTTCTCTGTAAAAACTTTTCTTCCAGGAAAATTGTACGTGAATGGAGAAGAATCCGAAGTACAAAACAACATAATTAAAGTAGAATTTATCAAAGGCTACAAAGATAACCCCAAGATCAATGCCTTTTATTTAATGAAAGGAGCAATAAGCGATGTTCCGCAACTACCCCCAATAGTCCCTCCAGAAGAGCGCAATCCTGATCTTCCAAAGCTTGATTTGAATGAATTGGAGGAAGAGTCGAAACCCCAGAAAAGACCGCGCAACATTCCCACAATGCCTGAGTCGTATGAACCAGAAGAAGAATCTTCTATCATGTTGCCGGTTTTTATTGTGATCGGTGCATTCATTCCCATATTGTTCTTTTTGTGCAAATTGTGATGTAATGAAAAACCGTTACTTAATTATGCAACTTCAGGTGATAAAAACAGGCAAAACATGTGTACTTAATGAAGCATTAGAGAATTTTTTCTGGGTGTTCATTTCCGTGGGTTTTAGGAGATTTTAGGAGGTTTTAGGAGGTTAGTGAATTGATTCTTATGTATACTTTAAGAAAACTGCTGTTTTAAACGAGTACTTTCAGTGAAAAGTTTTTTTGAAAACGGAAAAAATTTCGTAGAATTTCCGATTAAACTGCGAATTAGACTATTTTTTGCTCTAAATTGTTGTTTTTGTACATAATTGAAATATTTTGTTTATGAATAAATTAATGTGTTGTAATGATAAATGACCTTTGAGTATACAGGGTGTGCCTTAGGACAAGAATTCTGACCCTTACGGGACTTTCACATCAAAATTAAACCACAGGTCTTGTATTAATCCGGTTATAATGTTGATATGTGGAAAATTGCCCGATTAAATCCACACTTTTACTGTTTGGGGTAATGGCAGGCGCAATTCGGGTAGATATTTCACGCAATATCTAATTTCTCGTTGATTTGGACGAATTCTTATGTCTAGTGCGTAGAGCAAACATTTTCTTGGCACCCTTTTGACTGATCTTTAACAGGAATTATTAGAGATGATTAAAAAGATGCTTAAAAAAGAGTAAATACTTTGTTAAAGCAAGTCTATTTTCTTATTCAACAAGGCATTTGTAAAAGAACCTCAGGAACACCCTGTGTAATACTTGTGTACTTTTTACCAATTTGGAGTGTTATTTATAAATGTTGATCACTTGGTGAAAGATTAGTGAATGTTCGTTTGATCTATGGTTGGCACTATATTGTAGCTAAGCTGCTTAGTTAAGTTATTCAAGTTCTGTGTTCTTGAAATAAACCGAAATAACAGCACAAATTCCGTTTATTTCAAAGCATCGATTGTCACTTAAATGCTAAGTAAATGAATACATTTACACTGTAGAACTTATTTATTCAGGACAAGTTATATAAGCATACAACACAATGTTTTACGTAGGCTCGGAATAGTAATCGGCTGCAACCCCGTTAAGCTTCTTCAGGGAATCTGACTCGCTCAAACTGCGGTTCAGTCTCTTTTTGTTCCTAAACAAACTGCTGACGATTTTATAAGGGCTCAACTTGTGACTGCGCTTAGGAGATTGACCTGAACGCAAATAGTTCGGTTTTCTATTATCCGCGTTTTGGGTCTTTGACATGTTTTCGACTAGAAACAATTCTCTGGCTAATTGAGGCGATGATTTTGAGTAAGAGTTCAAATTGTTGCTGGCCGAACGGGATTTGATGGAGTCACTTAAACAAGTCTCTTCGATGTTTTTGTAGTAGGAAAGACAGGCGTTTACGTAGGAACCTTGCGAATCTTCGTAAGCTTCATGGACTTCCTTTAATCGATTCGACCGAAATGGTGTTGCCGGACGCAGCATTAAAACTGTATCGAGATGTTTGGAATCGATATCCTTTAAGGAATCTTGCGACGATCCCGAATCTCTTCCAGAATCCTCAGCAATATTCCAGATGGTTTTGTCAAGTTTCCCGGTTGCAGCCGTTGCAAGGACCGCCGAGTTTTGCACTATTACACTCACTTTCGGATAGGTTACTTTCTTCGGATACTCAAGGGCAGCTCTTGAGGAATCCCGCAACTGTAGTTTGAAGTGACTGTAATTGGCCGACGCGTACCGGGCAGGATACGGTTCACAACACTCCTGCTGGATGCCCAGCAGGTTACAGAAAAAGTTTTTTAGTGCTGCGCGAAAGTCTTTCAAATGGTACGCGTACAACAGTGGATTTCCTGCCGAATTCAAATGCGACAGTATAATGCACGACAACATAAAGGTGGAATTCACGTGGAAGTCCTCGTAAAAGGCGATGATGCAGTTGATGGTGTACAAGGGGATCCAACAAATCATGAAGAACAAAACGATGATGGCCAAGTTCTGCGTTGATTTCACTTCATTCCTCTGTTGGACCCCCAGCATCCTTATCATGCCGCCCGAGGACAAGTTCTTGCATTTGCTGTTGCCAGTTTTGTCCGGATTCATGATGACAATCCGTCGCAACTGAAGCAGATAAAAATGCTTGAACACATTATAACTCGTAAAATGTAAAGCTTACTAACCTGCTTCAGAACTACTCGGTAGATGTGGGCGTAGAAAGCAGCTAGAAGAACCGCCGGCGTTATTATTGTGCCAAAATACAAGAACACCAGGTAGTTGTAGTCCATTACGGTCAGAAAAAAACAGTCCACGCTGCCTTGCCGGTCTTGGTGCCATCCAATCAAGGGAAGAAATCCCACTAGTGAACCGGCGAACCAGCAAATACTAATAATTACTGAAAAATACGTGTCCAATTAGTATGTGGTACTTATACTTCGTTTGGATAAATACAGTATTATGTGGAAAAATAGCTTCCAAATTCCTGTAGGTTCCGATCTTATATACAGGGTTATTCACGCTATACGGCACGGAAGTTTGCGGCTAAACCGTTTGATTTTTAAAAAGTAGTATTTGATGAATTGTCCGATGCCTACCGGGCGCACATTTTAAAAATTTTTGCGTAATGTACAGGGTGTCCCAAAAGCTCTAAAAGTACCAAAGTAGCGTTTTTTTAATGGAATGTCCTGCAAATTATTGCATTTTTGGATTCGCTGAACAAAATAAGTGTCTGGTTTCTTAAGGTTTATAATACCTAAATCTTGAGGTTTTTTTAAATAATACGGATTTAATCAAAATCTAATCTAATTTTTACGTGTCAAATACTTTAGAAGTATTTAAGTTATGTGAGCGTAATTTATAGCGAAGTATAACAAGGCATAACATTTTATATCCCAATGATAATGAACTTACCATGTTATACAGAGTGTCCACAAATTTAAACTAATCAAATAAGAACTTTGAGTGGCTCTAACTTGATTAATTTAAATACAACCCCATATTTTTTAACTTAGCAGGAAATGCAATTTTTAATTACCTATCGAATGGTATTAGGATGTTAATAGCTAAGTTTTTGCCTTTTTACAGAATACGTCAAATAGTCGTTCTGTGCACCATTTGGTGTTGTTTAATTTAAAGTTCCAATGTATCTAAGTTGCCTATGCCATTTACACATCTCAAATCATTTATTTTATTGTGGTATTGTTTTTTGTAATTGTAGACGTGTTGGTCGTTATTTTAATATTACTATTGTGTTGCTAAGTAAAAATGAAGAATAATCTAAGAGAAGAGCGTATTGACATGATTTTCACCATTGGAGAATGTCATAAAAATTGTTTATTGGCTTCTCGAGTTTATGCTCAAAAGCTTCCTGAAAGAAATCATCCTAAGCCAACAGTTTTTAAGCGCTTATTACATCAATTTGAGGAGAGTGTCAATTATGAAAAACCCATTACAAGGAAATCTGTCACTGAAGATGAAGAAAATGTTTGAAAAACCCTTGAATCCTTATAAAATTCAGCTTTGCCAAGAACTTTATGGAAATGATTTTGAAAACCGAACTGAGTTTTGCATGTGGGTGTTAGATAAAGTGGCAGAAA